GATAAGTATGACTCATTATGTCATGCATAATGTGCTTAATTTGTTACCTAATTAATAACTTCATTATATACATAAAAGCCATTAAAATCACAGTGTTAGGATATGTACCCCAAAAAAATATTGATAGTGTCAAGATCAATGACAATTTTGCAAGCAATCAAGTTTAAAATTAAATTAAATATTTAGGTTCTTGAAGTTTTGAAATCGAACTCATTAACAATTCTTTTATTATAAAAAAAAGTAGGAGGAGAAAAAAAAAGTCAAATTGAAAATAAAAATAGACTAAAAAAAAGAAGATGAAATATTGTTTATACTTTGAAAAAAGAATTATTTGCAAGTGGGAATAAGGTAGTCCTTTCAGCCTTAAAAAACAAGATTGTTGGGCAGATTTGTTTGGTTTTGATGAATTAATAACTGGTGGGGTGTTGCTGATGGATGCATATAATTAAATTAAAAGAAATAATTAATGGGTTCTACCAAATACTAAGACTAAGTGCAGTGATGGAAACTCAACAAATCTTATCATAAATTCATTTTGTCAAGAAGACTAAGAGTAGCCACTGCTTTTTGCGTTGAAAGGGTGTGACTGAGGGATTAGTCATATCATAATAATTATCAATAATAATAAAGAACCATTGAGCTTGAATTTTTTTTTCTTTGGTATTTAAAAAAATCATGAAAATTAATAAAAATATTTATATTTGATATATTGTTTGTATATAATAAAGGGTCATCTCATAAATATGTAAATGTAAAAATTTTAAAAATTATAAATATTTATTTTAAGAGTTTTTAATTTTTAAATTTATTTATTAATAAAATGACAACATTCGATGTAATATATAAAATTTAAAAATGAAAAACGTACTAAATATAAATTTATAGGAAAATATCTTTCTATCATTCACTTAAGAGAAAGGTGGAAAGCAATGAAAAGGAAAACGACGGGTGTGATAAATGGGAGTGAAAATGACTAGAGTTGTGTTTGGTAAGATAGAAAAAGCGCCAAGAAAAATACCCTTGTTTATTTAGATTTATAAGACTTTGTAGTTTCAAGTCTAAATTAAGATGATTGAATGATTATGTAGTGAAAACGTAAGACATTGAGGAGAATTAAAAATGGTGTAAGTTTAGCATTTTTTTTTATTTTATATAAAAGAATTTCACTTTCAATTTACACGTACCAATGGCATTATGTTTCGAAGAAATAGTATTTTAATTGACTACCCACTTATTTTTCAAGGCCCCTTGGCCACGAGATAGAGATATATATATTTTTCTTTTTCTTTTTCCTTTTCATTAATTAATTTTTCCCTTTGTTTTGCTCCTCTCTCTACTTTTCTGTCTTCATAATTTGGTATCAAGCAAAGCTTAACGTTCTAATTCATTTGCAAAAATTTAATCTGGGTTTCTTCCTTGTCAGGTTGTTCATAATGCCAGAAAGATTGCTTGTCTTAGTAGTACAATGATAAACAATCCCTCATGTTTTCATCTCACAAGGGGAGATTGTAGAAATTCTGACAGGACTTTTAATAACTGAGAACTAATCATGAGTTTGCAGCCATGAAAATGGGCAGCAAATTTACATTGGGAGGCTGCTGATATAGAGAAACTGAGGGAATTTCCTCAAAACTTTTACCATTTTTTCTTTTTCTTGGACACCAATCAGTTTCGTACTATGGTACAATCCAGTTTGCAGCAAGCAAACATCAGCAGCAAAGTTTTTGAGGTGGGTTCCAAGAGTTCTCTCCACCTTTTTCTTTTTAGTTGGATGCCAATGATTATGGCAGTAAATTCTCTGGATTTTGTCTGGAGAATTTGGGACGGCTGCTGGATAGAGAAACTGATGCAACTTCCTCAAAATTCTACCAACCATATCTTTTTCCTTGGATGAACATTCATGTTATTGGATTACCTGCTCAGCCATGTACCAAAAGGTTAGAATTTCTCAACATTGCATCACCAGAATAATCATCAAACTATCGAAACAGTAAAGCTAATCTGCCTGCACATATGTGATAATAGATCAGGACAAGAACATGTGACAATTAAGGATTCTATCAGAGAAGTCAATAGGAAGATCAAGCAAGTCAAGTAAAGCTTTTGATTGCCAAAAGAAAAATAATTAAAAACAATCAAATTTCAAATCAATTTGGGTTTGATCCTCATATCTTTTCCTTGTTATTCCCATCATAATCCTACACAAATCGTATTAGTTTTAATTAATCAAGTCATTCTCAATGTTATCAAATGGAATTGTCATTGTGGTACCTTCTTCCATAAAAAAAAAAAAGAGAATTTAGATTCGAGTTCGGCGGATAGAGATTAACAGACAGGACTAGAAAAACTAAAATTTTATTGTGTAATTCAGCTAATGGATCAAAAACAAGTCCATGTTGCCATTTGTGTGGTTCTACCAAGTTCTGACAAGGAGTTCAAATTCTGCTCTTTTTGATTCTGTCAAAGGTTGAAGCAAACTCATTGTCATTCTCTTCTCAGAGAGATATTATGTTTCTTTTTTAACTATGCTGTAAGTTGACAATGAGCTGACATTAATCATTGATATTCTGTTCTGTGAGTCTTTATCATCAGAATTTGTTCTTTCTTTCCTGAGAATGTGGAAGGCATGATTCTTGTGCTAAGAAAGTGTGTGTTTCTTCCTAGGCAAAGTTGGGTAAATGACAATCATAATTTCCTGTAAACTTGCCAATTTTTTAATCCCATATTCTCCTCCCAAGTTCATCCCCAAATCACAAATCTTCCTTTATTAAACCATATGGTTTTACAGGAGTACTAGGCTTCTTCCATCAGCTGAATAAGGAAAAGGAAATTTCATAGGTATCTTTGCTTTTCTTAAGTAATTGTTCTCTTGTCCTGAGTCCATGGTTAGGTGTCATTAACAACTTGAGAGTACTATATTTTAAGCAGTTGTCATTTTGGTTAGGATTTTTCTAGCAGGATGCTAGATGCTCCTGTAAGTGGAGGGCAATTTTGTCACCAGCTAATCATCTTTGCTCTTGACTTGTTTCACCAAAGATTATGTCATAGATTACGGCTGGTCCAATACTTCCAACAGGGAAAACAATAAAAATTTTGCAGCCATGATAAAGAAAAAGAAAAAACATTGAGGGAGAAGGATTCTTGTAGATATTGGGGTAATGTGTAAGGTGTCAAATGTTCTGTCCAAGTTCTTTAATAGTTGAACTAAAGATCTGTGATCAAATTTAGGCTTTGCTACAGATTTCAAGTTAATCAAATGGGAAAGCCTGTTGCTCTCAAGTTAGTCAATTTTAAAAACAACATTTCAAGAGCTGATTCTGTGATTCATGTTTTCAGTGACAGAGTTTACCAGGTAAGGTGGGGTTCAAGGTAGTCAGGATCTTATTTACTGTGGGAGAGCAGGATGAAACCTGAGAATTTTTAGCTGCAAAATCTAGGCTAACTAGTGTTAAACCTAAAGAAACAAAGGAATGTAAACAGACCCTTTGTCAGCAAGAAGATTCTTGTTAGGATTTTCTAGCTTATTGTTTTCTCTAACCCCAACAAGGCCAGCATTGACCCCAAAAACAAAACAATAAAATTTATATAGTGTGAATTATTGTGCATTATAGGGAATATTCATCACTTTGTACATGCATGAACCAGAAGATATGATTACCCTTCATTTTGTTTTGTTTCCTTTTTCGGTTTTCCTTCTGTGCTACGGGAATGTGTTGGAAGAGTCCCACTAAAATAAAATTATTCAATTCCCTTCCCTTTTGTTACGTAGAGAGAAAATTTTATCCAGTTTCTTTAGGCTTGCTCCTTAATTCTCCATTTTTTTTTGCCTTCTTTTGTCATAATCCATGGCTGCACTTGAGAAGTTCTAAAGAACAGTGTGACCCTGTTGTCTCCTACAGAGAAAAATTGTGGTTGCCCATTTAATCCTTTCACCCTGGAAGTCTCTTGTCTGTTCCTTCTCCACTTTCATTTCTGTCTTAATTTATTTCAGCTGCTCCTTTGCCCGCTTATCCTTTTATATAAATGGAATCATTGATGACAAGATCAAAGAACTGAACAGCACAACTGATTTGCTATAGGGAATATTAAGCTAATTTACTAGTTGCAAGTGGAAGCTAAGTCCCTCATTTCTTTAATTATATTTCAAATTTTATAGGTTTGTAGTTTCTTGTGTAAAAAGTTAAGTCATTGGTATGTTTAGGTCTTTTTGATACTTTAGCATGTAATGTAAAAACTTAATTATTTATTGAATTTTTAATATCAATATTTAATTTAAAATCAATTAATAATCTTGAGATATTCTTAATTTAACTGATGTGAAATTTCTTTTATCATCACTTAAATATTCATCTCATGTGTAGAATAATGTATTTATTCTGCGACATGAATCAAGAGGGGTTTACGGAAGGACGGACGAATGGGAACATACTTATTTTGATACTATATTAAGTTTTTAAGACGGATATTAAATTTAAAAACGTACAAGGATCATTGACGTGACTTATTCAACGAGTTTACCGTTCAAAAGAAATTAAGAATGGAAGTTATCATAAGTTAAAAATTAAGAAAAGGATGATTGCTACAGAACAACTATTGAATTGATGTTTCATGGTAAACAATTAAGAATGAGAGACACGAGTGGATTTCTTTCTATTTTTTCTTTAACCTTCTGTTTTTTTTTTTTCTGTTCTCAGTGTATAAACATCGACTGTTAAGTTAACCAGTTCTGGGTGCAGCCAAATTACATGCTTAGAATTTCATGGCACTTGCATTTTCCTCTGAAGGAATCTCTTTAACCCTGCCTACAGAGGAGAAAGTTTGGCTCCAACGACAAAACTGGCCAGCTATAAGCGGCCAAGGAATCCCATCAACTGTTCTAAATTTAACTTTGAGCTTAATAAAAATCAAAACCAATGGGAAAAGACTTCTAGTTTGCAGGAATAAAATTTGTCAACGAGGACGACCCACGTTTGGTTTCTTATATATAGGACCATTGCCATTGTCTCAAACAAGGGAGGTGGCCATTTTTATAATTAGTAACCCTTCATGCTTTACACCCATCAATTTTAATGCTTTTTCCCAATTCAATCATGAATCTCCCTGCTTCAACAACATGCTGCTCTTCCTTTCTTTTTTAAAATGTCTGAATGAGCTGGCATAGCATCTTTATCTCGGACTGCAAGTTCCTTTTAAGCACTCTTTGGATTTTCTAGCCTCTAACTTTCAAGGGATCACTCTCGTTTTTGTTTTGTCTGAAGTTGATCAATCTTAGAAATGGGAAGACAACCTTGCTGTGATAAGGTTGGATTAAAGCGCGGTCCATGGACGATAGAGGAAGATCATAAGCTGATGAACTTTATACTCAACAATGGTATTCATTGCTGGCGAACGGTTCCAAAGCTTGCAGGTAAATCTTCAATGAAGTATTGAAGTTTCTCCACCCCTGTGTGTCTCTGTATCAGGCACATGAACTTGTGATTAAGTTGGGAGGGTCTGATTAAGAATATTGGCATTTTGTATGGTGATGCAGGTCTGTTAAGATGTGGAAAAAGTTGCAGATTAAGATGGATAAATTATCTCAGACCAGACCTTAAGAGAGGGGCTTTCACAGAATCAGAAGAGGATCAGATTATTCAACTTCATGCGCGTCTTGGAAACAGGTAAAGAGTCACCATCTTTCTTGCAACATAAATATGATTATCTATTAAGAAAACTAGGGTAGTGCAACTGTGCAAGGGCAAGGTCCAAGTGATATTCCTGGCAAAATGCCATGGATGATTAGTGTTTATGGCCAGTTCATTCTTCCTTCTAACACATGATAAAATTGGCAGGTGGTCCAAGATTGCTTCACATTTTCCTGGTCGTACAGATAACGAAATCAAGAACCATTGGAATACTCGAATCAAGAAGAAGTTAAAGCTCCTTGGTCTAGACCCTGTGACACACAAGCCTATTGAGAAGGCAGAGAAAACTGATGGTAAAAATACGATGACCTCAAACTCTAATTCATCTAACAAACAAGAAGCAAGCTTCGAGTCAAAGTCAGAGGATGATCATGCCATCACAGTTTCTACAAGCAGAGATGAGACAGGAGAAGAAAGTCAAGTAATTTTTGATGAAACAAACGATCTATTAAACAACTACCAAATGTTGTGTGGAAGCTTTGATTTGGAGTCATGGCTGAACCAAGATACAAATACCTCTTCCTCTTACACATCTTCATTCTCAGTGGAAGAATCCAACAATCCTTCAATGGGTGAAACCAGCTCTACTCAAGAAGACTCCCTAAAGCAATGGGTTGACTGTGTGGATTCATTTCTCTCATGGGATGGCTTTAGTCACCTGGAAGAAAATTTTTTCCTCCTTGGGAAATAGGCAATTGAACATAACTTCTTCTATTCCCAAGTTTCTCTTTAGACTACTACCCTATCGTCTTAGCAATAAAAAAAAGGATCACAAAAGGTGATTCGGATTGTTCATATCTGCTACCAAAAACTGCAGCTTCCTCTCCACTTCAACTCTCTTTCACCTTCTTGCTTTGTGTTTAACCTTTGAAATTGTACTTATCAAAAATTGGTGTCCTTAATTTCCAGAATTAAGTTACCCGTGATTGATCATTATATATGGCTTGTTTATTCTTTGTAGCTGGTATCAAGCTTGTAGCATTTGACCAGAGAGAGAGCCGTAAAAAAGCTTGATCCATTGCCCCTGCCATTGATTGGGTTACTTTTTATCATACTCCCTTTGTAACTGTAAATTTCTGTGTACTGTCACACATCATTATGAAAGTGTCCAAGGTTTCACTTCATTTTGTTGCCTTTTGAAACAACACAGCCTTTAATTTTAACTTAACTTTAAAGGAAAAAGGTGGAAAGAAAAAAGAAAGAGAAAAAGACGGCAACAGTAGAGAATCAGATAGATGCTCCTGGATGTCTGTTGAGATTATGTCTCTTTTATAACCTTTCTGCAATATAAAGCATGATGAGCACTCTTCATTTCTTTATTGTGTTCACTTTTTTGGCATGTATCTGGTAATGCAATTGAGGAAACTGCTTAGCTATCTATTTGTTTTTGCTTTGTTTTCAAATGTTGGGGGGGACAGAGATAACTAGATTAGGTCGTGCTTAGCACTGAAACCTGGAAGTGGAATCCGCTAAGAGTTGTTTATTTCTGTGCATGCATCTGTAGATCATTACAAGGCAAGGAATCTTAAGATGGAACTCAATAATCTAGCCCTGGAGAGAAAGAAAAGTATGCATTCCTGCAATTGTGAATGCATTGGCTCTTGAAGCCGACCAATGGTCTGATTGAAGAGAGACAATGCCCTAATGGACAGAAAATTTCTCAAAAAAAAAAATCAAAAAATATTTTCTAATTTGTAATCACTTTCCATAGCCAATCATTTTGCAGAAAATGTTAATTTAGGAGTCAATGTATTTGATATGAAGTACTCCAGACAAAATAGATTGAGATTTCTTATCATTTTATTAGAGATTTTATGTGTGAGCATTTTCTTCAAACTTTTCACACTCCTTCTTAACCAGAACTTGTTCACATTTTCACTAAAGATTTTTTATATAACAAATTTTCATATGTTCACATTTAATGATGTTCTTCTCAATCACTCGAGGGGATGTATAAACACATGTATACATTTCATAGATAATTTAAATATACACATATATAACTATACGTTTGATTTGCGAAAATAAAATAAGATGAGAATAGAATATTTATTATATAATTTGGTACAATGAATGAAATAAGGTAAAAATAGTTATTATGACTTATTGTAGTGTTTGATTAGTAAAAATAACTCTGAAATAAGAAAAAAATAGAGACTAAAAGAACAAAAATACTAATATTTTATTTATATTTTAAATATTATTATGATTATTTTTTATTTTAATATTTTAAATATTAATATTTTATTTACAAATATTAATATGGGTAGGATGGTAGATTTTTAAATTATGAGAAGTAATTTAGTTTTAACAATTTTTGAAGTTATTCCATCAAATTTAATTAAATTTGACTTTTAAATGATTTTAAAGAATATTATTTCTAAAGAATAATTATTTTTTGATACAATTGTTAACCAAACACGAGAAAAAGTATCACATAAAAATAAAAAAAAAATAATTTAAGTATTCCTAGTACCAAACGTGCAGTTTTTTTTTATCTGAACTTGAAATAACTTAACCTTTCTATTCTTTAGAAAGTTTTGAGGATTGATGTGGAAACCAAGTAATCTGGTATGAAAGGTGAGTTTTTATTCCAAATACGCAGACATAGAACAACCTCTTACGTATATTTGGTCGTAGCAATTCTCTGAAAGCAAAGTGTTTTCATTTTTCCACGATAATGATCAGTAACTTGTTGGAAAAAAAGGGCGGTCAAGTCTGATAATTGACAGTTTGGGAAGCCAACCTCAGCAGCAGCACAAGAGTTAAGAAAAGGGGAAAGAAAATGACACAAAAAAACAAAGGAAGGAAATCATATAAGCCTGGTTTCCAAGCTTATCTGTTGATTACTAGGTCTGATTTGGACACCCAAACTAATTACAATGACATATTTGACTAAACAAAAGGATGATTGGACCTGCAAACAGATAGGATTTCGATATGGTAAACCTATCAGGAAATTGAACAAGTTCCCATCTCCACAATATTGTTTTTATACCCAAGTTGCCTGCTCTTGCTTCATTATATATTGTTTCCAAGATCACTCGTGCAAATCTGCTCAACTATAAATTTAAGACCCAGGTTGCTACTCTTTTCGTATTTATAATCCATTTTTTAAAGCCCTGCAGATGATTTCTGTTCTCATAAAGAATTGAGCTGTTAACTTTGTTTAATAGAATTACAAAAAATATCATCGAACCTGAACATACACCAGTGTGATTAAACTTATTGTTAAGACCAGTGTCTCATGAACAACCCTAGAGCCATCAAGAAAGAAACCAAAGCAATGGAAATAAAGCAAACACACAACCAACCCACCAAGGGATACCTTAACACCCAATGATTAGATGATTTAGCCTCCATGTGTATTGAAGTCAAATATGATAGGCAATGCCAGGACGACTGACAAGGTCAAAATTCAACCCTCAAAATCAACATCAGTTTGGTATAAACTCAGTGTTGGGATGTGAGGGCTGTCATCACTCTAAACTCTAGATAATCGTCATGGCCATCATCACTGCCTCTTGTTTATATAAGAATTGGAGACCCTTTTCTCTTCTTTCTTCATTGCTTGTAAAGGGATAATGATAGAGATATTGGAATGAGGTCATTTCTTTTGGTTAATTTATGAGAGTGAATTAAGTAAACCTGTGAAGAGAATTTATTTATTGGGAACTTATCTTCTTTTTGTGGTCCTTAAGCCATTCACAAAAAGGGTCAAGTGGCTTTGTTTGATTAAAATAATTACTATTTTATCATTTGATGCCTTTAAATATGCTTCACATGAATTAATAACATTTCCAATTTCTTACTCATAAGTGACAGCCAGTATTTTTTTTTTCTCTATACTTTAGTACTCAAACAACATAGATTCCATACACAAATTGTAATTTATTTTAGTTGAAATTAGTCTTGGCACGCACGCAAGAAAAATAATCTCTCTCTCTCTATTTTTTTAATAATAGGATAAAATTTAAAAGTCGAATAATTTAAATATTTTCATTAATTTATAAAATATTGACTTTTTATTTATCTTTCCTCCAAAACCCATACTAAATTTTATTTATTTTCCTAGTTAGTACAATTTGATATTATATGTTTTGGGTTTCACATTGCAATGTAATGATGAAAATTAAATTTAAAATAATAATTTAGATAATCACTTTTTCCCCATTTTTTGAAAGGAGAGAATAAAAAGAATCAAGCCCAATGTAAGTATTGGGCTTATGAGCTCAAGATCTTAAAATTTATGGGGAAACGTTGTCCAACAAAAGCATGGCCCAGATCCAAAGACAGTTCCAGCTGTACAAGAAAGTGTGAGCACTTCGAAAAGAAAACAGTGTCAGCTTAGCTCAAGCTATGCAGAGGGCAATTCCAAGGATACACACTATCGTTGCAACTCCACGCCTTAAATGCTTCTCTCTTAACGCACCCAGGATAGTAAGTTTTTTTTTTTTGGGTATTATTTTTTTCTTTTATATTTGTTTTGTTTTAGTTGGTTTCTTTTCTTTGTTTTTTTTTTTTTGCTAATTTAATGAGATTTTTTGTTTTGGTTTTTATTTTTTAATATAATCGGGCCCAGATTAGTTTGAAAAGCACCCATTTTGATTTTTAGGTTGAATATATCTTTTTGGAAGTAGAAATAATCATTTGGGACATTAGCAAGATTACCAATGAAAATTATGGATTAGTTTGCTAGTTGAGTTGTTGTTGAAATTTGTTTGTGTCAAGCTTGGGAGTTTTATTTTGGTGCTGCTGTGTGGCCTCCTTTCTGGATGGTTAGCCTGAAAGACAGGGGAAGGGAGGATCCGGCGTGAGGGGGTTGCTGATTCTGCATCGTGCCTTGTATGGTTGTTCTGGAGGACTGTGATTTTGTGAAGTTTTGGCACGTATGGATTGGGGCTCCATGGTGGTCATGACTTATTGTAAATGATTTTAACTGATGTTGGTTTAGTAAACCCGCCTGTACAGGAAGGCCGTTTTCTGGTTGTGGTAGGATGAGTGTTCCTCTTGCATCGTTCTCTTTGTGTGGATATCTTGAATGCTGATTGATCTCACTGCAAGCAGATGTTGCTTTTTGTCATATTTATTGTGATACGCAGGTGAAGCATTTAAGGGGTTTAACGTCTCTTCATATGCTGGCCTATACCACTACCGATTCACAGGGTAGTTTTTGTAATCTCTTTGTAATGAATCATTCTTGCTTTTCAAAAAAATAAAAAAAAATTAGTTGGTTTCTTAAGTTTCATGGATAAATAGGTAAATTCTATGGATGGTTCATTGAATCTTTATAATTGAGGTAGAGAAACTGATGAATGATTCATTAGAAAGACGTACTGTCTAATCTCTGTTTTCATGGTAATGACTGAGTAAAATTTCAGTGATACATGCTTATAGCTTTTTTCTCTATGATTATACTAGAATTCACACCTGCCATGCTGAACCTTGTTCAGGTAGAGGTAGAATATGCAAATGGCAGCAAGTTTTGTTTGTCAGCTGAGTTTTTGAGAGTTTATAGCCCAGCTGCTGATGGCAAGATTAGGTCAATTGGAGGTGAAAAGGTTCATATTATAATTCTTGTCTTGGCCTAAACTAGTAAAGGCACATAATTTGCTTGGTTTTCTGCCATTGAACGCACAGCACTGTATCTACTTGGATATGTTAACCCTTTTTTCCCTTAAATTTATTTTAACTCTTGACCCTCCGGGAGATTTTATGTCCCTCTAAAATGAACAATTGTCATGTCTGATTTCTGAGATTGTTTTATCAGGTGATATCTGGGCGGCGCCATGTGGGGATAATGTCTGCTGAACCAGTAGGAAACTATGGTGTAAGGTATCTTCACTAAGTTCTGCATTTCACCATCTTAGATTCTTTATAAAGTCTACATATGGTTAAATTCGTTTTCCCTGTTTATTTGATCATTTGTGTCATTTTTGGGTGGATGGTTCAGGATAGTTTTTGATGATTTGCATAAAACCGGGATTTATTCTTGGGACTATTTCTATAATCTTGGGACCAACAAATTTACCCTCATTCGAAATTATATCAAAACACTGAAGAAGCACGGACTTAGCCGGGATCCACCCAAGAGAAAGTGATTGAAAGACTTCTGATTTTCTGAGTTAGCCCCTCAAGAGCACCGAGTCAACCTTGATCCTATCAAGATGTTGCCATTGAAGAAAGTCAGTGGTCAATCTGGAAGTACATGTTGCAATTGAAGTTAGTTGAAGAACAGCTTAAGAGCTGTGATTTGAATTATTCTATTTATATTTTGTTAAGTCAGTTGTGTGTTTGTGAGATGCACATGCTCCTTTTAATGGTGGCAATCATTGTAACTATTTTACCCCTTAGGCTGTTAGTACTAGTGTTTGATTGTTTCAACTTTGTAAACTAACTGGAAAATCAGTTAGCACGTTGGGATATCTGCTTGTATTGAAATCAATAAAATTACACAGAAAATTTTAATATTAAATGATATTCATTTATTGGTACAATTACACAGAAAATAAACTAATGATACATTGTGTTAAATAGCAGGGGAAAAAATATCTTTATTGTAAACAAGATGAACGCATATTCACCCAATTGCTAGTACTCGGAAAGGAGGACTAGAAGCTTCCAGAATAATGATCAGTAAATTGTGGGGAAAAAAAAGAGAGTCAAGTTTGATAATTGACAGTTTGGAAAACCAACCTCAGCAGCAGCACAAGAGTTAAAAAAAGGGAAAGAAAATGACACAAAAATACGAAAAAAGGAATTCATAGACCTGGTTTTGAAGCTTATCTGTTAATTACTAGGTCTGATTTGGACCCCAGAACTAATTACCATGACATATTTGACTAAACAAAAGGATGATTGGACCTGGAAACAGATATGATTTCTATATGGTAATCCTTTCAAGGAAATTGAACAAGTTCCCATTCCCACAATAATGTTGTTTTTATTCTTGCTTCATTGCCAAGCTCTGTTTATATGTTATTTCCATGATCACTTGTACAAATCTGCTCAATTATAAATTTAAGACGCAAGTTGATACTCTTTTATGCAAGCATTGCACTTGTTTGTTTATGCAGGCATGGAGGCACTTGCAATAACTTAGATTGAAGCAACATGTAATGAACTACTGTAGAAGAATTGCAGAGTTCTGAACATTACACACATAGATACATATATGAAACAATTGACAATATAACATTAGAAGAATTGCAGAGTTCTGAATATTACACACATATATACATTCACAGCAATGACCTAGTAAAATTTCTCTGATACATGCTTATAGCTTCTTTTGCTCTATAATCATATCAGAATTCACACCTGTCATGTTGAACCTTGTTTAGGTAGAGGTAGAATATGTAAATGGTAGCAAGTATAGGTTATCAGCTGAGTTTTTGAGAGTTTATAGCCCAGCTGCTGATGGCAAGATTAGGTCAACTGGAGGTGAAAAGGTACATATTGTAATTCTTGTTTTGGCCTAAACTAGTAAAGACATATATTTTGCTTGGTCTTCTGGCATTGAATACACAGCACTATATCTACTTAGATGATGTTAACCTTTTTTTCCTTAAAATTTATTTTAACTCTTGACCTTCCAAGAGATTTTATGTCCCTCTAAAATGAGCAAATGTCATGTCTGATTGCTGAGATTCCTTATCAAGTGATATCTGGGTGGCGCTATGTGGGGATAATGTCTGCTGAACCTATAGGAAACTATGGGGTAAGGCACCTGCACTAAGTTCTGCATTTCACCACCTTAGTTTCTTGATAAAGTGTACATATGGTTAATGTTTTTTCCCTGTTTATTTGATCATTTGTGTCCTTCTTGGGTGGATGGTTCAGGATAGTTTTGGATGATTTGCATAAAAACAGGATTTATTCTTGGGACCAAAAAATTTACCCTCAAGAGAAATTATATCAAAACACTGAAGAAGCATGGACTCGGCCGAGATCCGCCTGCAAGAAAATGATTGAAAGATCTCTGATTTTCTGAGTTCGCCCTAAAGAGCACCGAGTCAACCTTGGTCCTATGTTTTCTATTGCTTTCTCTCTCTTTAAAGGTGGAAAAATTCTCTATATTGCTAGATCTTGTTGGAGGCTCAAATAATGCAAGCACTCTTTTACAGAGCATTCATGTGGTTTAGTTGTGTGAATCAATTCCTTTTCCAGACAAAAAGAGGGGATACAAACCCAGTGTTATTATGTCCATGACCATTTGAAACAGGTGATTTATTTTTTATCTCAATATTACTCTCTTTGTCTTTGTTTCATTAGACAGTTGGCAAATGTAATATTAGACATACTTGTTCAATTTGCTTGTTGCTTCCTGATGCTTGATGAAAAGAAAAACAGTTCCGATATATGTTCTTGTAAAATGGTTCAATTGATTTACCAAGAGAATGCATTCCAGGTTGGAAGTTTGTGAAAAAGGCAGAATATTGTTTGTACAATCCCAATAGGATGTTGGAATCACATGTTCATGTCTCAATTTGAAGAAGGCTTTACTTTTCAACCCAATCAAATCGATCAGTTTGATTTGGTTTTAACGAACTTAATTGACACCCTAAGCTACATCTAGAGACTCACCAAAAATGTCTTGTTTTGATGCTGGAACTCACAAAGAGCAAAGATAGTATCCTGATTTGTAACAAAAAGGGGAAGAAATTCAGACAATGAATGCACAAGAGAAACCAAAGGGCAGCCAAGATTGTTCTGTGAATCAAGAGGATCATCTTCTTGGATGCTGGAGCAGTCATCTTAAGCCCACCCAAGCTTAATTTAGTTGAGACTTGAACCGTGGCTAGCTTATACTGGCCCAGCTCCTGTTCCAACACTGAAAACAAACATTGATGAGAAGAAAAGTGTTGTTGAACTTGCTTTTGTGAATTTTGATGTGAGGTGATGAACAGACTTCCTTGGATGTCACCAAAACCTTGATGAAAACAACAAGAAATAAAAAAAAATAATCAAGGAACAACCAAAAGAATCTGCGGAATCTTACACAGAGAAAGCAATGAAATCAATATTCGATTACTTTGAGAGTGAGGCACTTAGTTGCACTGGTCCCCTGTTGAATCATGAGAGTTACAATAATCCTATAGCTTATTGGGTTTTGAGATTCACTTCCGACAAGAAAATCCACCACCTCCAATTATTAAACTCATTGATCAATAGATTAGTACATTATTAATATATAATTAAGCACATCAAGATTAGTTTAATCAGACCTTCATATCACTACTTGGAAGTACTATTTATTACAGCTCCCACGCTAGGCCTATAAATTCCAGCCTACCATTAAAACTTAAAAAATAGGCCATTCTTTTCACACTCCATGCTTCCTGGAATTGCTTCTGCATCATCACACAGCAGCCCCATTGCTATGCCATATAAATTATTACAATGTTGGTTGCTTGCTAGCATACATTCTTCATATATATTTGCAGTCTTCCAGTGAGTTTCAGACATTGAACTATATAGTAATCTATATTTCTGCAAATCGGTCGTTAATACTCCCAAAATATTTAGAAAAAAAAAATATTTAGGACACATCAAATTATTTTTTCATCTTAGCTGGAATATATAAATGGGGTGGTCCGTGACGAGGAAGGTTCCGTTAAGGTAATGTTATCAAAACCAATTGGTATTGTTGATGGGAACTTCGATTGAAATACTTGCTATTAAGGAAGCTTTGGTTGGTTTTACACCTTCCAAATGGGTTATTTTTCATAATTCATTGATTGAAAATGATTTCACAAATGCGATGAAATGGGTTATAAACTCTCGTTGTGTCGCATGGAGGCGTAAAAGTTCAGTTAGTTGTTTGTATTTTTTGAAAAAATTATATTGTATCGATGATATTCTTATGTATATTTGTATTTATTATTATTAATATTATAACTCCTTCACCTTTCCAAAATAAAAAAAGTTTTATGTTTGAGCTTGTTTAGCTGCACAAATTAATGTAGACTCATACAACATGAAAACTAATGAAGCTAAAGGTGTATTGGTATAAGGCCAATTAACAGCCTTGCAAAGTTGCAACACATGCATGGCAATTACATGCACCATGTGTGGAAAAACCTCCTGATTATATTATACATATAACAACTAGCATCTGTGTACTGTTGCATCGAAGAATAAAAGAAACTAACAAAAGAATTGTTTCAGGTTATATATTGCCTTTCTCTTGCCCATGCTTAACACTTCATAATAATTAGTATAATCACTTTGTTTTTCTTATAATGTTTATGACATTGTGATAATAGAAAATCTATTTCTTTTTGTTGGTGGGAAGGCTGTGTCTTGATCACTTTCAAACACCCATTTTAACCTAAGCACTGGCTTAGCACTTTGTTACATGCATTATGTACTATCATCTGGACAAAATCCTCTTTGCCTTTAAAAGGAAAAATTTCTTGGCAAAGCAGATAATTCTTTGCTGGAAGAAGCATTAATGGCCAATGGCCCAATGGTCAATCAGTTTTTAATTGGTTTTCATAAACTCATTTGTTTTCTGCTAGTACTCTTGAAGGCATATCATTGAACTTCGGAACACCTTCAATCTACTTAATTTGTAACATTAAATTTGGGATTAATGATTGATCATTAACAACATTGCCAATAACCTACATCAAGAAAGAAAATGCATGAAAGAAAGTTAATGGATAACAATTACAAAATTCCATTAATTTTGCTCCTGTTGATCAGTACTTTCACTCCAATTCTTAATAGCTTGCAACACTGCTTGTTTCACGACTTGTGCATCAATGGTTTCACTTTGTTCTTCATTCTGCAAAAATAAAAATAAAAATTTGTATGTTTTTTTATCATCATCATCGATACGATGCAAATGTCGTAATTTGCCATTGGAAAAATCAGATAACTCAAAAAAATGAATCATGGTTTCAAATTTAGCATATGAGCGTGAAAACAGACATCAGATGTTGATAATTCTTCAACCAATTGAGGAACTGTTAGAAATTTAGACATGAAGATAGATAGAACGAGTACATATAGATATAGTGGGAAAAAAGGCTCAGACTCTTACTTCTCCTCCAACTGCTTGTAATCTAAAACTGTCAGTGCAAGAAACCCTAGCTTCCAGCACGTTGAGACCCAGTTGTTCAAAGGCTTCCAGGATAGAAACAAGCAGACCAGGGCAGCTCTTTTCTGAGAATACATTTATCAGAAATCGCTTCTCTAGGGTTTCTACTGTGACCTGCTATGAAAAATACATAAGAGAAAAAAACAGAGAAAATTTAATAAGTGTATGTACAGGTTTTTCACCATGTTGGAAGAGGAGAAAGTACAGTGTTGAAGTTGAAGCAAAAAAGGGAGAACAGTACAGTACAAAGATGATTCAATAAGGGAAACAAACTAAAAACTTGTATAACCAGAAAAATGTGAATATCAGTGGTTGGAATGTATTACCATAGGCAATGGGTTTTGATGATTTGAAGTTTGTGCAGCTTCTATATCTTGATTCAGCCTTTCTACTTTCTGTTTTAGCTCTTCAATGTACTTTGATGCATCTACTATGATTGATGTTTTGTTCAGCTGCCATACATTTACAATGATACTGGTTTAGCACAAAGTTTACTCTTGGTTTATTTTTCCCTTTTTCTCTTTAATTTCCATTGATTTTCCTCCAAGAAAACACAAGCAACATAGAATTGATAATCCAGGATTATATATCAAATAGTTTGCATAAGATACCAGAAAAAAAGCCACTAAAATTCCAAAACTTTAAAGGGTAACATCTTTCTCCTTTACGGTTCCTTTTTCTTTTTGGTGACTCCAGGGAGATAATCCAAGAAACTTGAGCATTGACAAGAAGTAAGAACAGTGGATGGAGATTATGATAAGGCAGCTAGAAAATGAATCATTGGCAACAGACAGAAACCAACAACTACAGTGAAGCAAAAGAATTATTAAAACTAACAGCAGAGGAGAAAAGATGAGCAAAGGCTGAATTTTTGTTGAATAACAAACGAATGAATGAATACATATACTTAAAAATGAAAGCCAATGAAAGAAAAGGGCTTAGAAGATAGATAGGGAATTTACAGCATGAGAGTTAGTAATGGAACGAAGAAGTTGCAGCTTCTCATGCAGTGCTGCTCTCTTGTGCTCCCTAGAAACCATCTTGTATATGCTTATGTCTTCGGTGTATATCCTTGAGAGGCTTTTTTCTCTCTTTATTTATCCCCCTCTCCTTCTTTTTCTTTCTTTGTTTTCAACTCTCTGCAATGCTCTGAGGTTGTTTAAAAGAGAGGGGAGGTGGAGCTCTCAAATCTATAGGATCCTCCTGTTTGCTTCCCACATGACCGCCTCAGTTTCTTCCCACCACAATATAATATAGATTGCATCTCACTTTACCAAATTGCCCCTTCTTGTTCATATTTTCTCATATTTTTTTCCTTTTTTTTTTGTGATAATCCCATTACCAAGAATTTGTGGGAATGAATCATCCCATCACCAAGACTATAGTGGAGGATCTATTAACTAAAATCAAAGAAAATTCCCTCAACTATACATCAGCATGAATATACATTCTATCTATTCTACAAGTTGAAAGTTTTTCAACAAAAGAAAAATGATGAGGATGAGGATTTAAGGAAAGGCAAGAATCTTAAATGAGTTTAAAACTTTATTTAGCTCAAATTTCAAGCAAGAATAGATGATTAACACTAATGTGTGTGGTCCTTAAAATGAACTATACTAATTTTGTATCTTTCTTTTCATTTCCAGGACAAAGAATAATACTGGCCTCATATTATTTTCTTAACTAGTTTGTGGATGTAATTAGTTGCCTTCATTCCATACTCTTTCCAAGTAAGAATGGTTGGTATTGAAAGTCTTTATCTTGAAGTAGTATTTACCTTCTCTTAGGAGAGTTATTTTCAAGGTTACCCAAAGTTTTAGATTATTAAGTGTGGATGAAAAACTAATTTGTAATTAAAGTTTATGGTTATGCGAAGGGTGAGCAACAACAGTCCAAGGTCACTCGCAGATCATCTTAAAATGATAGAGTTAGATCTATTTTAAAATGATATGTTGACTTGATGAGTGGTTTATGATTCAAAATGTTTAGAATCTGAGTTTTTTTGGATGGTTCATGGTCTTAAAATCAAGTTTTTGGACCGATTCTAAACTAATTATTACTATATGCAAAATAACTAAATATATGTAAATTATAAGACTTGAACCAAAAATGGTGTCTTTTTTTAAGATTTTGATCGTTAAGCTAAAAATTATTTAAAGCATTTAATGAATAATAATAATAATAATAAAAAGCCACCAAAAATATTAAACAAAACTTAAAAATAATAAAGTATAACAATAACTAAGTTATAATGTGAATTCTTACATGGATGTATGAAATTTCTTATAATATTTGTGAATTTGATATTTAATCGTAATTTATATTTATAATAATAAAATATTATAATTTTAACTTTTTATTAAAAAATTCAAGATCGATCCTCAATTACATAAGACCGTAAGTATGGTTAATTTTAAAAGTAATTCTATTAAGATATGAATTGATCCACGGTTTAAAATTTTTAAGATCAACTCTACGTAAATGATTCATGATCTCGACTGCAAGACTGTCCACTCAAACTATACTCACCCTTAATTAAGCCACTAATAGTAATTAAGAAAAATACAAATAGAATATCTGTAGAAAATTTCTTGTAGAGGAGGGAAAAAAAAAGGGTAAATGGGGAAAATAGAAATGGGGGGGGTGGGGTGGCATTGGCTGACAAGTAAGGAGGAAATGGGGGGGAATCATGAGCTCGTGATGTAGAGGAGTGAAAAATGGCCATCGAAAGAAGTGAAGGAGAAGCAACAAAAGGATGTTTAGTTGTGATTTTGGAATGCCTCCAAACACTCCTCACGGGGGCTTTTTTAGACTCCTCCCCCTCTTCCCCGCCTCTTCCCTCCTCTCACCAGCTAGCCGTCACCTCTTTGTCTTCTCTCCCTCCTCTCTCCTCTCTCCTCTCTCTCTCTCCACACGTGCCACTCTACCCTTTCCCTTAATCACTAGTTTTCCAACTTCTCATCAAATGAGAATTTGGCAATTCATGCGTCATCTAATCTTTCTCTTTTTCTTGGAAATTGAATCCATGGTAAATCTGCTAGTGAGGGAGTATTGCTTTGACGTGCATTTGATCTTTCCAGGGCTATATATACCTATTGAGTTGAAGCTAATATCAATGATGCCTTTGACTGATCATGTTCAATATCCCATGCATATCTATCAAGCTGTGTATATATATTATTGCCATGCAACAAGTTTGAGAGAGATTCATGAATACGCGAAACTCCTCAGAAACCTATTTTTTCTCTAAATCCATTGTTAATTGTATACATATCAGATAAATCAAGTTTCCGCAAGGATTTGGAGGGAATACCCTTTTCTCTTTGGTACATCTCTATGCATGGGAAGATATAGAAAAGCTAAGTAAGTGGATCATGAACTCTGCAGGGGGCCATGGGAAGAAGAAAGACTGTTTTTTTCTGATCAAACTCGCTGGGGGCAAGCCCTTTTCTCCGATGAACGTGTCACGAGATGTTTGTATCAGAGACTTTTGATCATATGCAAACTAGTTTGGAGTTGGATCCTTGCATCCAGCATTGTCTCCATTCCACACGGACAAATCATGTACCCACCTATTCACATGTGTGCCCTTTAATCATTACAACAAAACAACACTCTCCATACATATCCCTGCGCCTAACTTGTCTCTTGCCTTCCATGAAATGCTGCTCTTTCCTCCACTTTGTTTTCCCTTTTTTCTTTTTTTTTTATTAAACTTTCTATTGATTAATTTTGAATTTGATCCCATCCCTCCCCATTCAATCACAGTATACTACTATCTAGATTTTACTATAGGGTCTCTGTAGATTTGATTTCCTTTCTCAATATGAAACAGTTGTGGGATTAAATTTTTCTTTCCTTCTGTCATTTTAAGGTTATTTTTGTTTGTTTGTTTGTTTTTTATTCTGGATAAATATCCACCACTTATAAATGTGTGCGTTGAATGGCACATGAATCATTCATTATTTGACAATACTCATCCCTTCTATCACTTCTGTTCAATGAGTGTGACACAATGCTGATCATTATTATGAAACTAAGAAAAAAAGTGAGAAAAATACAAAATAAACAACAGATAAGCAATTGTTTGTCTTCGCACCACCTGGAGGCTTGTATTTAGTTTCCCTCACGACATATGCTAGCTATAAGAAATTTTGCATAATTTATCTCTTCTGCTATCTGCCACCATGCATGGCAATCAAATTAATGGTCTTCCCCCTATGCCCCTGCAAGATTAGGGTTTTAACTTAATTACGTATACCCTTGATCATAGATAATTTATAGAATTTATTTATGCAAGTGATGATTTTTTTATTAAAAAAACAATTTAAATCAATTTTGAGTAATTTATACATTACGTAGAAAGTGCGAAAGTTATAAAATATTGTAGGGTTGAGATTTAAAAGAGTAATTATACTCAACAAGATTAGGATTAGGATTTTAACTTAATTACATAGTGTGAACGAACATATATACTCCAGATCATAGATAATTTATAGAGTTTATTCATGCAAGTGAAGTTTCTCGTATTAAAAAAACAAACAATTCAAATTATCAACATCGAGTAATTTGTATGTTATGCACACATGTGAAAATTACAAAATAATTGTAGGGTCAAGATTTAAAAGAATAATTAAACCCTACTAGATTAGGATTTTAGCTTAATAACATAGCAAATGTGTATATACCCTTAATTATATATCACAATTTGATGTTTGATACTCGAGTTACTAACAGATAAACGTTATAAAATTTACTCACGTAAGTGAAGTTTTTCGTATTAAAAAACAATATAAATAAACATCAAATATAAATTTGAACGTTAGAGATAATATAATTATTTCGAATGAAAATTGAAATGACTTGGTCAGAGCTTTTAAGTTGTGCAAACTAAATAAATAGAGTGATCAGTGGGGGGAGTAAATGCATTTCTTACTGCATAAATGCTTCAAAAAGGTGAAGCCTGAAGCACCTCTTTTTAACCTGGTTCGATCCTAGTCATATGACTTTGTTAGTTGCAAAAAAGTTGGAGATTGTTGAGAAGATTCTCTTTTGGATTTGACTGTTGCTGTATCACATGATTCATATATATATATATATATATGACATGTACGGGGACCTGATGTTTATATTGTAAATATGATTACGACATAATTAAAGCATACTGATTGGTGAAATTATGGGTTATGCATATGTTGATCTGTACGTGTTTTTATGTTGATTTATATATATATATATATATATATATATATAATGTTGCAAATGTATTGATATCATGTGATAAAATAAAACAAAATAAAAAACAAAAACAAGACCAAAATAAGGATTATATTTTTTAGAGGCAAGCCATGCTGAAATCAGAAAGGTTTCCCGTGACATTCCCAGGCCCTCTCATATTTCTTCAAATATATTACCAAATATAAATTCCCATATGATGACAAAGGCTAGCCAAAGACACATATATGCCAGACTGAAACTTGTTAAAAATGCTTCATCTAGCAATTTTTACTTAGATATTTTGCCTCGAAAAACTCGATCAATATCGAGTGTTACTTGTCTGAGGAATTAAAATCGAAAATTCTGGCTTAATCACTTATTAATAATAATTACTTGAAGTCATCTCGACTCTTTTAATACACGATTAAATTTGTCGAAAGAAAAACTTATTTATGATATTTTTCGACAAATTTATTTTTTTTTCTTTGTTTTGTTAATCGTATCTAAAAACTCAATTGATCAAGTTGCTTGCTTGTTTTAAGAATTAAAATCGAAAATGCCGGTTTAATCGTCTCAACCCGTATAATAGATAGTTAAACTTGTCGAGAGAAAAACTTATTTATAATATATTTGGGAAATTTGTTCTTTTTTTCTCATTGTATAATGTATCCTTTTGCAGAGCAGTAATATATAGGATTCTTGTGACTTGGTAGCAAAACTCACGTGAGTTTCACTTCGGGAAAGTACATTCACATGCAATTGTGACAATGGAAACAAAATTTATAAATCTATAAAGTTGAGTGATAAGTGCTTTTGTTGTGTATGCACGTAGAGAGAGAGAGAGAGAGAAATTCATACTTGTAAGAAAAAAAAAATTAAAGAATCTACAAAGATAACGTAAAAAACAAAGACAAGATCGAAGTCTTGTTGGATACATATATAGATATATAAAGAAGTGTACAAACATATCAATGTTTGGTAAGAAAAAAACCGTTGAAGTTAATAATATCTAACATAATAAAATTTTATTACCTTTTAAAACCCAAAAGGAAGGTCATTTTCAAGAAGCAAATTTAATTTTTCTCATGTTTTCTTGTCTATATTTTTTATTTAATTTTTTTTGGGGGAATAAAAGGGTCGTTTTCATGAGTCTTTCACTCTTTGAATTTCATATATCTAATGCCTACAAACAATGCTTCGCTGTGATAGAGAGCTTTACTGTTGAAGTGCACAGAGCTATTCATGCAAACAAATTAGCCTTGCTCTCTTGACAGCTATAACCATTTGTCTTTTTCTTTCCCAAATAAAAAGAGAAGAAAATAAATAAATTGTTTTGCCCAAGCATTCCCATGTTTGTTTTCTTCTATCCATTTACCCTACTCCCTGTCCATTTTCCTTTGCATATTACAAAATTTTTTGTCAAACAAAGCTCAAATCTTAGCTAACAACATGACAACATTCGATGTTGTTTTGATGTAAGCAAAAAAACTATTACTATAATATAAACTCGTGTTTCACCTTTCATGAAGTCATCCTCGCACCATGCTGTGGACCCAAAGTTCTTTAGAGGAACTTGCAAGTTTCTGCAAATGGAAAAATGGGAGGATTGGAATGATAAAGCTAATCATGGTTTATGTACTGTTTCAGTTGCTTATAGTGTAATTAAGCATATCTTGCCAATGCAGTATCAGACACTTGGTTCGACATATCCTTAATGAAATAGATAGCTGGAAGAATTCAATCACAGACATCGTATTTGTCTGCAGATTTTTTGTGTTTTACACATGGCGGTAAGGTTTGATTCGTGTTGGGTGTCTCTTATAATTTCCTTTGTTACGTGGTAAGGTTTGATTCATGACTCTCGACATGATATACATTGAATCAAACTCAATAAGTTCAATCTTGACAGGGGACAAATCGAATTCGAGTGTTCATGTCATGTCAAAACGCAATAAATTTTCGAGTAACTTGACTTGTTTACGAATGAAGTGTGGGACCATATACAAATGGTCTAGATCTAGCAACAATGGTGCATACCACACACCAACCTCAAGATATGTGCCAAAAATGTTTTAGTAAATTGTGAGAAAAGGAGTGGAAAATTTAGGTCACGGGAGGGGAGTGTTGATGGGGTTGTATGTATCGAACATGATACAATTTCAGTTTCATTAACATGGATCATATATAAAAGAAACCAAATCCCCTCACTGAAGAAAACATGTATGGAGCAAATCAGAAGATGCCCGGCAGGCAGGCCCTTTGTCCCTTGTTTCTTTCCTTCACATGAATAGCCATAGGGGGGAGGGGGGAGGATAAAACCAAACCTCTGAATGGCACGGCCATGGCCATATCTGTGGGACTTTTCATTAGGAGTTTTCAACTGTTATTCATTACACCAGTACTTCTTTAAACCCCACAAACTAGGAGAGAGGTACTACCTATCATTATCAGCCTTTCATGGGTTTTTCTTTTTCTCCTTTCTTTTTTTTTTAATTAAAAATTTATTTAATGGAGTATGAAGAGTTTTCAGCATTTGGAAAAGGGATTTTTTTTTCTCCAAACTGGTAAGAAAAAGGACTTTGTTTGTTATGTAATCACTGTTGCTTAGCAATAGAAAGTACTTTTGTTTGTTTTGTCATTAAGGGATAGACTAAACTAATTAACTCTAATACGATCATTAAGTCTCGAGTCGGCTATAGACTTGATTCAACATTCGTGTAATCTCACCTTTGATTAATGTAATTCTTAGCAAAGACATCTTAATTCTAGGATATAATGCTCATAATTACTACTCTTCTTAAGTTGATAAATCGAAATTATCATCCATCTTTGAATACAGGCAATTATATATTCTAATGTAGTTTTTTAATTTGATACAAAAATAGTTAAAAGTTAAAATACTATGTCAAATATTCTTTTATTTTCTCGTATAATTTTTTTTACAATTAGCTTTTGACTTTTTTTAATTAAACTAAAAATTAGGACATGAATAAAATTACACCCAATCAAGAATGAGTGATAAATTCGATTTCTCACCTAAAATATAGAATGGTAAATTTTGACTTAATCCTTTTAACTCTTATAATAATTTATGTACATGTGCATGTGCATGTGTCAGTTTATGTAACTTCTATATGTAATAAATATATTTTATATATTTATTTATTGTATTTCATTTATACAATTATAGGTGTGTGCGTGCACATGGACCTTGTGCTTCGATTTTTCTTTATTCATATATGTATTTACTCATACATGTGTTTTACATTTGTGCCATGTGATCGGATAAATTCGAGATCGTCTTTGAATATCGCATGAAGCGGGATTTAAATTTATTGACGCAGGTAATGAATCCGACCCAATTATTTAAAATTTAGACATGATCTTTTGGCCTATTTTAAAAGTCCAACTAACCTCATGTCTAATTAGATATGGGCTTTTAGAGCCCATGAAATGAGGCCCAAGAATACTTATCAGGTCCATTGAAGAAGTCCAATTTTTTTAAAGAATTGGTCCTGGGCCCATATGGTAAGCCCAAACAGTCTAAAACAAAGGGCGTGCCGAGCATTGAACTTGAGAACTCTTTTCTCAAGAAA